AAAACAAAAAATTGCCTCTGCCAGTCTCTCTCCTTCCATTGTTACTTTCCTATTAATTTAGTCTTTGCCATGATTTGGGGTCACTCAAAGCCTCACTCAATATCAAGATCCCTATAGAATCAATGAGCTGTAATTTCATTGCAATAAATTCAACAAATGATATAGGATTGTTTATTTCTTTGTCGATAATTATCTTTAAAGTTATCTGCACTGTTCAATGCGTCTTGAACATAAACAAAAATTAACCAGGAAACTGTGTTTTGAGACACCAGGAATGGTGTGCTGTAAAGGAAAGACTTAGTGGCCGTGACCTTGACCATCCGAACCCTGGAAGACTTCCGTCTGTCCTTGGAACTTTATGCAGCTTAGAAAAATGTAAGCCATTTCCAGATAAAGAGATTCTACACATAGGACTGGGTTAAGCAGCTAAGAAAGGTTGTTCGTTTCCTTTCGTGATCAACAATTTTCAACCAACAAAAACAAAGGAAAAGGGAAAAAGGCAAAAAGGAAATTAACTATAAACCTATAAAACAACCCTAAGTCTTAAAATTTTTTTTATCAAAACGAAGGGATTCAGGAAAGCCCTCTCTTACCCCTCCAGAATGTTGCATTTCTCCACACATTCCTTGCCACGGCTGACGTTCCGGCAGGACACGCAGTCTTTGGGGTCTGCACCCCAGCAGCCCTCCGATGAGCACAGCGGGTTACAGACGTGGCCCACGGCCTCTGAGAAGACAGGGGGAGCCACACGAGTCAGCCAAGGGACAGTGGGCACGGGGGGCCTGGGGGTCAGCCGTGCAAACACCTGCTGGGCTCCCACTGGCCCGCTCCAAGTCCCCTTTTCCCTCCTGGGCGCTGAGGGTGCCTGGATGAGACGTTCCAGAGCTGGCCGACCAGCAGGGAAGGTGTGCGGTTCCTTGCCGTGCGCACAGAGCCAGAGCATTGTATGGAATTTCATTCATCTCTCAACTGCGCTGTGGTGGGTGGAACTCATTACTATCCCCATTTCAGGGGTGAAGAAACCAGAGTGCTAAGATTTAAGTGAAATGATGAAGGTCTCAAAGCTAGGAAGGGTCCCAGCCAGGATGTGAACTCAGATCTGCTTCCGCACGAGGCGATGGCGCCGGCCGACCTTCAAAAGCTGACTATGGCTCTAAAGTCAAACTTGGAAATGCCAGTGTGAAATGTGCATCTGATTCCTGTGTGTGTGTGTGTGTGTGTGTGTGTGTAGTTATAGTCACTGGGGACGAAATAAG